TATATAAATAAATATATACAATTTAAGCTTGGCAAATATTCAACTTCTGCTTTTCACTTTCTACTGACCACCTGTGTCACAAAACTATCACTGCTTTGCCTCTCATACAGCAGCCCTAAAAGACAAACCGAGACATGCCATTGTGAACATGAGTACTGTGAAAGCTGAAAAGAGTTTCTGACATTCCCTTTTGATGAAAAGCCATACAGTTGTCATGACAGATTTTAAACAGCAAGTTATTAGAATTTAGTTTGTAATTTGATGGAAGAAGCTACACAGAGTTTAGTTTAAAAAAGTCACACAGTGGCTAAAAGGTATAGCAGAATGACTTCTAATGCTAACTCTCAAACCTTAGTATTTGCTTACTACTAAAGCAACAACAACATCTAAAAAGCTTTTTAAGAAGTTAATCTAGTTAATCAGAAAGTGTGTGTAAAATCAAGCTAGTGGCTTTTTCCCTCTGAATTCACACAAATCCTATTTTTAAGTTAAAAATGTTAATGGCCAATGAGATACTATCTCTGAAATCTAATGATAAAACTATTGGTTAAAACAGATGCTCTTGTCAATTTCTCATTTCTTTATCCAGTTCCATATGTTTGTCTAACAGGTAACAGTGAGCATCGAGCATGTACATACTATACGTAAGCATTAAAGGAGGTAACTTGTAAAACATTAGGGTCTATATTAATTCCAAGTACACCAACTGTTTCTGTTGACCAATATCATAGATTACAAAGAAGCTAAGAACAGACTGCCTTCAAATACAGATACTGCAGTCACTGCTGCAGCTTAAATAGGGAGCAAACCCCAGACTTCACAAAGGAAGTAGAAGATACTAACCTTAGAACAAACAAAGTCAACTAGTGTGGCTTCTTCTTCACCAATATATTCTATTATTTTCTTGTTGATCCATGGTCTAATTCGACGTTCCATTAGTGTCTGGAAAAATAATAATAAAAAGCACCAACATGATTTCCATAAACTTCACGGTCTTGAAACAATACTGCCAGATAGGCAGCTAGAAGATGCAAACAACTATTTAACAGAAGATACATTTTGCTACCAATGAGATAATCCTTAGTGATTTGGCATCTGCAAGTATTTCTGACAGCCATTCAAATATGTTTTTACAGGACCTTTCCCCCTCCCTTCCATAAAACCGCTAGACAATTTGTAGCAACAATTCAGGAGACACTAAACAAAAATAAGCAGGCATACTTCACCGTAAGTATTATATATGGACAAGAAATACAGTACTCAAGTTTGATTCCATTTGATGCTGATGCTCCAATCCACTGGGGTCGCAGGAACATTGCTTTTCTATTCAATCCCAAGGTTTGTTTGGAAAAAGTATGCTTTTTTGTGAATGGTTAAAAGAAGTCAACTTACTGAATCCACAATTGACCAGTCAAGAGGATAAGCAAAGAGCTCTGGTTTTGCTGTGGGAATCTTCTCAATGAGACTCTTAATATGTTTGCGTTTTTCTTCTGTATTGACACTGCCTTTGATATTGCTTTTATCTTCTTCTCCGTAATCCAGGGGGACAAGTTTCCTTTTCCGGGGCACATCATCACTGTCTTCATCATCAAATTTATTGAAAACACTATCCACAGCAAGCTTCTTCCTTTTTACAGCATTGGGCTGATTAGGACTATTGCAGGCACCTACAACACAAAAGATAGAATAACATATTCATAAACTGCAACTGAAGCTAGTTTGCTCTTCACACATTTCTTGAGGAATATCAGCTTGATGTTATATATGTATGTCTGTGAATGCCTAGCATCAGCATCTTAATCTCTCAAACTCTGTTATAAAAATGGCAAAACAGATAAGGATCTGAAATGGATTTGTTCAAGATTTTTGAAAAATAGAGTCTTCTTTCTCTGCCCTGAAACCAACTAGCACCCTCACTGAGGGAGGACTATAGCATGAGTTCAAACCTTAGCGGAGGCAGAGCACAGAAGTGACAGGTTGCAATGAATCTAGCCATAGGAAAAGCGTTAATCAGTTAGCCTAATACTGTACAATCTCTCTTCATTCAAGATCTAACAGTGTGAACTCAAACTGCAGCCCTAGTATAATTTAATCAAAATAATAAATAATAAATGCATAAACCTTCTGGAATACAAATATCCTTAGTTCTATCTGCTGTTCCAAAGCAAAAATTTTTTTAAAACATCAGGAAATCGCTAAAGTACTAAGGAACTCTACACTCATGTTCCTTCACAATTGTCATCAATTCATTGTGCTAGTCTAAGAGGAAGAAAAAATGATCTAATTTTCAGTTTTGTTCTTTTGAAAGGGTCTTTGGGAATAAACGTAAGATGTAGGGCTTAAATCTAACATAATACTTCTATCAATGAAAAGTAGTAACGGGTTTTAAGAGAGATATTTAGAGATCTATTACAGTGAAAAAGCAAGTGGAAGCAACTAATCCCAGCTCAGAGCATTCCTAAAAAAATTGAGCCTTGAGGATGCCAAAATTTCCCTCCCTTTTTCCCCTCTAGAATTTGGAAGAGTAAAGATCTATAAAACACATCTTCTGGACAGGAGAAATCAATCACAACATCTGGATAACAACAGCTTGATACAAATGCATCAAAACATACAATATATTTGGAAAACTCTGTGTCTACTCAGCTTGGCATTTTTTTCACTCTGATCTCATATGGAACATTAAAATAAAATGTGAACTTGCCCAATTTGAGGCTAAGTCCTATTTTGGGCCGATGCTCCTCCGGCTGCTGCTGATCAGGTGAATTTTCATGAGGGATAATAATGCCACAGGGAGATTCATCACCAGGTGTGTTAGGGGTTGCATTTCCACTAGCAGAAGAAACAGATGGGGCAGAACTGATGGGTCGTAAAGTTGGTTTAAGGCAGGGCTTTTGTTCAGGTTCCTCCTCCTCTTCCTCTGGCTCTTCTCTTTTTTCCTCTTTTTCTGCCTTTTCTTCCTCTTCCTCCTCAGACTCTGGCTCTTGTTTTATTTGTGGCTGCCTACGCCGTTCAGCCTCCTGCTCCATCTACAACGAAACAGATAATTAGCAAAAAAGAAGCTCTCTCAAAAACAGCACTGTTTGAAAAGAATCTGAAGATCCTCTGTTTCCTAAAGAAGTCTCTGTTAGTCAAGAACAAATACATGCAACTACTGCCATTATAATCAGAAATACCGATTGATCCAAATTTGTTTTCAAACTCTATCCAAACATAGATCTGGAAAGTTTTTTGTTTCCAGTGTTCTTACTGCTTATCTGGACTTCTTTTTAGGAAAAAGTGAAGATTAACTAACAGGTAATACCAAGAGCTCTTTTTTCCCTGTCAGACCAACAGCTACTTACCCTCTGGAGTTCTGCATCTGGATCTGGGTGTCCTTCTGCCAGAAGGCGCTGCCTGATTTCTTCTAATTCTTCCTTTTCCCTTTTCCTATCCCGTTCATCTGCTTCCATCTCTTTCTCCCTGTCTCGTAGCCTCTTCTGAAGAGCACTACCCCTACAAAAGATACAGATTTTGTACTTCAAAGAACATTCCAAAGAGAACCTTCTACCACAATACAAGAAATAACTGATACAGATGTTTCTTCCACTAAAAGAAAATAAGATTCCTAAGAGCACCTGGCATCCTCTATTTTTCTAACAGAAAAGTCCAAGATACCAGTTCCCAGCCTTACTATACAGAATTTACCCCATCACATTTAAAGGTATAGAGAATGTGATCGCTGATCTTAGAAAAAGAATCAAATTATTTTATAGGTTTTTACTTGACAAGAACTAGTTCTGCTAAGGCATGCTTGATCCCTTCTCCCTGCCTCCACCACCTTATTTTGGCATTACACTGACCTCTGCTCCACCTCACCCACAAGTTAAGTGATAGGAAGGAGGAGCTACTCCCAAGCATTAACAAATAGCAGTAAGGAGCTTCCCTTTTCCCTCTGGCACTTACTAAGTGACACTGAAATAATCTGGATAATCATAAAACCCTTACATCGCCACATAATCACTCAAATATAAACTCCACAAGCCTTTGCCAACAAACCCCACAACTGTGTTAAAATGAACAAGGAAGATTTTACTGTTCGGAATCAATACAAAGACAGACCTGTAGTATTTTGGATCATCTCTATCATCATCATAATCTTCTAAGAATTCTTTTAATCGTTTGGCTTCTTTTGCCTGCAAGAAATTTAAATATAAGTAATGTTATAAAATGATTTCTGGTTTTATTCCAAAGAGTTGAAAATTTAGTAATATTATTAGTAAGTTGATTTTATATCTACTGTGCTTCAAACTAAAAATACAGAGTTTTCCAAAATGGAAAGGTTTTGGAATTGCATGATCTTCCAGGGATCTGTCAACTTGCTATCATACGTTCAATAGCAGATAGTACATCCATTAGGTCCACTGGGATCATGTCTCTAATTTCCAGACTACTGTTCTGTTACTAGCATTTCAAAGGGTTTTTAACACACACACACTTTTTTTTTTTTTTCTTACATCACAAAACAAGTGGATCAAAGTTCCTGTTCTTCAAATCTGTAAGTCTGGTATTGGATATTTTAACATAGCAGCTTAAGTGTATTTTATCAGTACTGTTTTGTTTCAAGAGCTTTTTAGGAAAGATTTAGTTATGCACAGATACAAATCTGATGGCTACTTCTAGGATAAGCATTATCCTGTTGTGTTACTAATCCAAATGATATGGCACTGTATTAATGCACAGGCCTAAAACTGAAGGGGGCAATGAGGGTAGAGAGAAGGTAGTTTTCCTCCCTCTGATAAAACAAGAAAGAAAGGAAAAAAAAAAAGCAGTTCTTTAAGGAGAATATAAATTTGGACATTCTAACCTGTTTCTAAGCAGTATCTTTAAACCAATAGCAAGATATTTCTACACTAATGACTTCGAGAAACAACTTACAATTATGGTTGTAAATTCAGCACTAAATTTAACACTGCTCTCTACAACAGCCATCCATAGCCAACATCCAGGAGGATCATGAATAGAAAATATCCTTGAGTCATTCTAAAACATTCCCCCCCCCCAAGCATTTAGAAGGAAAAATTAGATTCCACATAAAACAATGTATTTTCTAATCATCCCGCTCCCCCCGTGTGTCTCTGCGTATTTTGCTTTGAAGCAATCCCCAATCCATCTTCTACTTAGAACTCTCTCTGGGAGAATCATGAAGTGAAATAACACCACCATAATTTAAAATAACTTCTTTACTCTTTAACACAAAACTACGAGATTACAGAAGTATCTATCTTCCAAAGGTGTCTTTTCGAACAAAACCTGTGTGCGTTACATTGATAACTGTGATAATTTCACAACTAATGAACTATAGACATTTACAAAGTGCTTAGATATAGAGTATTATACCATATATTATAGAAGGTTCAGGCACATGTGCAGGTTGGAAGTAAAAAGACTGGTCTAATTTCACCTGCATGACACAGAACACGTAGTAGGTTTTGTTACAGATCTGACACAAATATAGGGTACAGATGTAATAGTGTATGATGATCAAACCATAGTATTTTGCAGCTGCTTACTTCTCATTCTTTTGCCTTTGCAAGACCAAGCCACTAGCCTTTGTTTTCCAGACTCTCAATAGTACTACCACTTATTAGACATCTTCTGTTTCAAGACTATTAACACTTTTTTCTTTTTTAGTATAAAAACATACATGGTATTTTTACAAAATGAGAGCTCTATCACTATCCGTAAAGATAGCAGTAGAATGTTCCACTCTAAATAGGACCCAAAGAACAAGGGGGAAAAGTTACAAGTAAAACTACAAGACTTACCATTTCCCTTCTCCTTTCTTCTTCCCTTTCAGCCTCTTTTTCATATTCTCGACTTTTCTTCCGTTCTCTAATTTCCCAGTTTTTAAGACGCTACAACAGAAGGAAAAACACACACTCCAATCTCAAGAACGTTAAGAGCAGTGGTACTACTTTGAAATTAATTTGGATTATTGTTTAAAACCAACTGCATTAAAATTAAGCAAGTTAGTTATTTATAATTTAAAACATTGGAATAAGAAGTCCAAAGTTGTTCTGACAGTGACTTACATATTCTGCCCCAATTCAAGTAGTCAAAGGATTAAAAATGTGTTTATGAAAAGGAGAGGGAGAAGAAATGACGTATTTTATAGAAGACATTATTCACCCCTCAGAAACAATTTTTTCCTTAAAAATATTTCCTTAAAAATCCCAACCTACCTCTTGATATGCAGCTTCTTTTTCCCGCAGTTTCCTCTCTAGTTTTCGGCGTTCATAAGCATCTTCTTCATCTTCTTCTCGGTCTCTCTTCTTATCCTTCTCCCGTTCTCGTTCCCGCTCACGTTCTCTTTCCCGTTCCCGCTCACGTTCTCTTTCCCGTTCCCGCTCACGTTCTCTTTCCCGTTCCCGCTCCCTGTCTCTGCTTTTTTCTCTGAAGCAAGGTAAGAGTCCAGAGTTAGGTACAAAGCCTTCCTCTCCACTCAATCAAATGATTTAACTTCAAATGCATAATGCAGTATTTACAGTATCTTGCAAGTTATTATTCTTCTGCAACTATACAAGATGATTAGCTGATATAGCAATGGCTATAAGTCAGTACTTCTAATATATTAAAAAACCTGTTTACCTAAAAGTAGCTATTTCAGCACTAATCATTAAATAGTGATATCTACAGAAACTAAGCATGAACACACAGCAATTCTTATCAGTGTTAGTAGCTCTCCATAAATAAGCAACAGCTAAAAATCCCACAAATAAAGGGTATGCTTAATAAATCCTTCATGTTTACATGGCTTACAGACAACTTGAACCCTACTGACAAGATGATTTAAAGTGAAACAGCTATTTTTTCCTACGATGAAGAGGGAAAAAGCAACATCAGCAGCCTCACATGATTAGTCAGAGTTTAGAACTGAAAGAGCAATCTCCTTGCTTTTTTGAAAAAAACCCAACAACAAAAAAAAAAAACCAAAACACCAAAAGACAAAAACCAAAACAAACAAGAAAACAAAAGTCAACCAACTCCCCCACCCCAAACCCACATAGCAAAGGAAAAGGTAAATCCTACTTAAACTAAAACATACCACAAACGTAAGAGAACCTCAAGTAGGAATTAAGCTACTCATGAAAAAATTAAGAGGGATTTGAGAGAAAACCAGGATGGTTAAGTCATGGTTGGGTGGTTGCTTACTGCATATTGCAGTCCTTATATTCCTGTGCTGTGGAGGGAATCAAGTGTTTGTGTAAATACAACATTTTCTAAAATTTTGCTTTCCTGCTTTTATTCTGATCTTCCAAAAGGACCATTCTCTTTTGAATGGCAGCTGATCTGCTGAACTATATGCACTTAGTAAACAGCTCTAGGAAAAAAACTGAAATAAATAGCAACTCAAGTGCATTTACCTTGATCTGCTCCGATCCTTATTGCGATCTGAACTCCTCTCACGATCTCTGTCACGATCTCGGTCTCGTTCGCGGTCTCTGTCTCGGTCCTTAGTTCGGTCACGATCCCTATCTCGCTCTCGTTCACGCTCCCGTTCCTTCTCCTTCTCGCGTTCACGCTCCCTCTCTCTTTCACGCTCCCTCCTTTCTCGTTCACGCTCCCGTTCCCTTTCTCTTTCTCTGCGTTCTTTTTCAATTTCCTGTCTTTCCTTCTCCTTTTTGCCTTTTTCCTCCTCCAGTTTCTAAAAACCAACAAGAGAACTTTCATAGTTAATTTTGTAGTTATAGGAAATGGATATTCCCGGCGCAACACACAAGGCTGGTAATGGAAATACCAAAACCGCCACTGATTTTACGATATTAAACAGGGTTTGGTGGGTATTTTTTGGAACTCGTAAATATGAAATCAAAATGCAGCAATCACAAGACTAAGTTTCGTGCAAAAGCATAGATCTACACAGACCAGCAATCTCCAACCTTAGCAGAGTAGGGCTGGCCTCGTATTACAAGCTGACTAAACTGTGCACACAGTGCACTGCCAGTCATAATTCAGGTGGGCCACAAATTCCATTGGCCCTATAAGCCACTTGGGTACAAGCAAAGTGAACTTCTAGCTGATAAAATTAATTCTGTTCAACTTGGAAAATATATTTCAGTGGAGTGCTTACTGGGACAGCGAGTTGTTTCCCAAAAAGTCTTGGCAGATCAAAACCGTCCTCTATGAAAACTTGGGTAAAGAAATTTATCCACTTACACGTGGTACATGTGGTTAAACAGTGAAGAGAGCTGCAACCTTTCCCCTTTTCCCTCCCTAAAAAAGTTCTAACAGTTCATTAGTAAGAACTGGACTCTGCAGAATGGAATCCTTAACTTCCACCACTGCAAGATGGAGAGAGTTTAAAAAAAAAGGTTGGAAATAGCTCTTTGGAAACACAGAAACTAAAGGGTTACCTGCTACAGTTTTACTAAAAATTGTACAAAATTGCCACTTTTTTTTTTTTCAATTAGAAACAGTTCCTATGACCAGAATTCCTATAAGACAATAGAAAATACATCAACAGAATGATAGATAAATCCATCCTTGGAAGCAATTGTTATGTGTTAACTTACAGATGCTGTGCTAGGACATGGACCGCCAACACTGGATTAACCTTGCCTATAAGCTATGTTTCTGGGAGGAAGAGCAAGTACACGGTTCACAAATATACCAAATAACAACCAAATATACCAAATTTCAACCTGATGGATGCCAGAATACCACTTTTTTGAACAAATATTGAGCAGAATAAACAGGTTTATCCCATTTGGCTCCACATTTACCATCACTGAAATGAAATTAAAAACTCGAACAATGAAACAGCATTTTCTCTGGTTTGTTTTTTTTTCTTTTCTTTTAAACAAAGCATTTAAGACAACTTTAAAAAGCAATCTTACCTGATAAGTGTTCTTCTGTCATAGGCACAGGGACCAGAGAACCAACAAAGGATTACAGAAATAAAGCTAATTCACTAGTGATTAATGTATCCAGTGAAACTACGCTGCATTGATAACACAATACAGGCAAACCAATGTTGGATACATTGAAATCACAAAAGGAAAAAAGGGACTAAAAATGGCGGGAATTGGTAGAAAACTGATATGAAAAAACAAAACTTAGATTCTACAATATACACTGGGCTGAAAACTAATTTCCAGAAAACTCTATTTTACAGGAGCTTTACAGCTTTAAACCTCAGTACGGTCAGATGTTAAACTGGGTTGTCAACTTTTAAAAATCCAACTTACCTCAAATTTCATATACTTTTAAAGAAAAGTTTACATACTGAAGTGGTTGATACTTACAGGTTATCTTAGATGTTCCAATAGAAATTTCTTTGGTTGAACTCCTGCTTTTTTGCCACTCTCAAACTTTGTTCGTGGTGAGATTTCTCAAGAGAGTGGGTTTCTTTTTATTTTTTTTTTTAAATATATTCACACAAGTGTAAATAAACACATACACAAGTCTTGATGTATTAAAATCCATTTTGCAGGTCTGCTTTCTTAAAATCCAATTGAAAAAATAAATTGGTCTGTTCTGTAATCAAAATCTGACCTCATCAACTTCTATCAGCCTAAATAAGAGGATCTGAAAGGGTAATGGGATGGGAACGGTATCAGATAAATTGAAGTAATGGACAGAAATGAACAGGTAGAAGAATTATAAATCTTACCTTGAGCTCTCTTCAGACTCGTCCGTGCTGTAAATGGACGCCCCCTGCAATGCTGATACCCTGACAGTCTGTGGTTATTGTTTTATAAACTCATACCAAAAACATGCAAAGGTTCACTGTGCTCACTAGCCAGCTGCTAAAGATTCAACAGCCCCTTTTAAACATATCCAATATACACAATGACTACTTGCAGTTGATTTTTAATGTTAAGAAACCCAAAACAGCCCCCCCAATAATACGGATCAAAGGCAGCAAAATGCCCAACAGCTTCTGAAACAATGAAGCATGTTTTTTGTTTGTTTCTTTTGTTGGCTGTTTTTTTGAAAAACTTACTACTTGTTTGCAACTTAGTACCAGTGATGACTTGGGGCTCGGAATTGAACAGAATTCTACTGAAGTTTCACCACTGACCAGTTTCATGTCCAATTGCTGAGCTTCTCCAGATGATTTCTTCTAGAATTTTTTCCCAGGTTTTTATCTCCAACAACTTCAGTCAAGAGAAAAACTGAGCATGTGTACATACAACAATGTGTAGTCACTTGTGTTTACATTGATACAGTTGTGTGAAAACATGGTACCATCCCCAGAGACTGCATGTGGTAAAGCTGAGTAACACAGGCATACTTCACCTTGCTGTACCTTCAACGTTTTCTTTAACATTGATTTGAGGGTATTTTGAAATAAAAGTGTGTGTCTCAAAAGAGGAGCTTGCTGACACTTCCCTAGGCCAAGGACCATTCCAGTCTTCTTGGGGAAAAAATAATACCAACTTTAAGCTAAACATTAAAATAAGAACATTACATGCATAGTTGTGCCTTGCTATCCACAAGTATCATTTTCCAAAGCAGAAACATTCACAGATGCACTAGCATTAGTGGAAACTTCTGTAAGTGGGAACTCTGAGGTGGGACTTGATGTGCACAAACATTTTCAAGCCAGTTACCCCTTTGCATATTTTTCTGAGGGGGCATCCATAAGTATAATAAAAAACAGAAGCTCATACTTACATCCTATTCCATGTTACTTTCCAAGCTGTGAGTTTCATCTTGCATTAGTCACCATATGATCTCTATCATAATGGTGGGGGTCAATGAATAGATTAGCTTTATGGGAATTTACAGTTCTTCCATGCATCTAAAGTTTGGTAAGTCTGGTAACCACTGACCTAGTTTTAATCTTCCCCCACTCTTAACTTAGAACTATTAAAATAAAATACTTAAATTTAATTTAAGTTTCAATTCTTCATAAAATCTTGGATTATGTTACAAATCTACCTACAGAAACACACTCAAGTGTATGTCTTATACTGCAGCCCCGTTTAGCCTTTAGTTATAAATATCTTGACTTAATGTATGTGTAGAAACTTAAGTTGCCTTTATTCACGTTAAAGTGAGAAGACTGCAAAATACTCAGTAGTAATCAAAGTCTTGGCATAAAGATGTCAAGGGCCACTTTAACGTGGTAGCTGTCTTTTTTTCACTTGTAAAGAACTATATGTATATTAAACCTAATACAAACATCATTTTAAGTGATATTGCAATGTACTTCTAAATTTCATAATAGTGGTTTTTTGGATTTTGAAAAAGCCTAATTTGTATCAAGTGCAAAAACAAGAATACTACCTTGTGTGTGTCTCTGAATTTACTGATCTCTCTTGATATCAGGTCTCTTTTGTCTTCCTCCATTTCTATAGCATTTATATCCTCCTAAAAAACAAGGGGGACAGGAGGAAAAGCATTAAGAGCCATCTGTACAGACATAGGAGAACAAGAGAAAAACTGAAGGTTAGAAGTTTTCAACCAGTCTTGCAAGAGATAAATAAAGTCCTTCTGCAGTACCAAACCTGACAGTCTGATGTTAATGAGTGAAAAAAAAAAAAAAATCAGATGGACAAGAGTCACAAATCTGGCAACTAGCAGTAAACATAGTCATTGTCAAAGCCTACAATGTAAACGAACCTTGGTGATGAGTGGATAAGGTATCAGTGGGGCCACTGGAAATCTGCGGAAAATCTGCGGAAAAATCCACGGAGATTTTTTTTTTTAAAAATAGATTGCACACTACTCTGAAAAACAATGTTTTGTATGTTTGTACTATAAAGCAATATTGTATTGCTGTGATCTCATTTCTTTGATTCAACAAAATTACAGAAGAACCTCGCTAATTCTCCCTTCTCTGAGCTACTTTAAAATACATCGTGAGGTCTCATATTAGTAAGACTTCACTGAATTACAAGTGTACTACAGGATATTAGTACGCTATGGTAGCATGATAAACAAGACTAAGCTACACTTGCCAATATAAATGATCAGTATATTTGCAGTGGGTATGTCCTGAATTTATTTACTCGCTAATTCGCAAAATTTGGTAGATTGCACCTACTAACTAATAGTTAGTGCGAATTAGCGAGGTTCCCCCGTGCTTGAAATTGAAAACCAGATTCCACTCACTCTCAGTTCCCCGCACACATTTTCAACTCCCCCACATCAGTCATGCCTCCATCCAGAAGAACTAACAGACTCTGCTGCTAACGTCAGCGGGAGTCTTCTTCACACCAAGCTCTTCAGGGGACAACAGCCCCAAAGCTGGCAAGCTTCCCCACCCCACACCCTCGCCCCCAACCATATATCTGCATCCATCTTCCCTTTCCCCCCACCCTCCACAGCCCTTCTCTCCCCTATCCTTTAAGGACAAGAGAGCAATGAGCTAGGACCATCTCTTCACTCCCACCTCTATCCACACAGGCCAAAGATGGCAACTTCCAAGTTTCTTTTCCTCCTTCCCACTATGGGAGGGATGATGGGGCGGAATTTCAACCCACAAGAGTTATGTATTTAAAAACAGCTTATTTGTCTACTTGACTAGCTCAGATTGGCCAAATTCTACATCATACAGAGCTAGCAGAATATCCCTCTGTCCCAGGGACATACTCAGCACCCAGCTCTTCCAAGACTGTAATGGTCTCTTACAATGTTTAACTACCTGGCATTACTCATGGCCATATATATATGTACCCACAGGACAATACACATTGTACAATGCTTGTAACAAAAAACACAGCTGACAGCATTAGACAGTGACTCATTTGTAAATTCTCATCCAAGACAGCACCTTCTCCCAAAGGGAGGGAGAGGAAAGAAAAACAAATTCTCAGCTCAGCACTCTTATACCTCAGGTCAGCCATGGCTACAATGTTGTGGGAAAGATATACTTGCTCCCTGAGGGAGATGTTGTTTCTTGTATCACACTTAACACTCCATAAGCATTTGGAACTGCATTATTGCCTTGGAATAGGTACTCTGCAGAAGACTTAAGTGGGTAAAAATCTTGGTCAAATAATTTTCCAATCTCTTTCATATTAGGTGCAGAATGGTAGGTGTGAAAGCCCATTCTCCCATGATTAGAAACTTGGCTGGAAAAGCTAAGTCCGAGTTTGCTCCTTCTTATTCCCCCTTCTCCAGTTTGTTTTAATCCATAAAAAGGTCATCCACAGAAGTAGGTCTAAAGCAGAGCATTAATTCCTGCTTAACAGGGTTTTTTTGCATTACACAATATATGAAAACCAGCTGATCAAATCCAGCCAAATTGAGACATGCATGTAAAACTGATTTTGTAAGGCAGGAAGTTTACAATATGCCTTTCATCCCTGAAGGATCCCTCCAAGGTTTGCAAGTTATACATATATACAATTAGTGAAGCGCTTCCACATCTGTGGGGAAACAGCTGCAACCAGTTGGATCAAGGCCCACTACAAGAATGCATACTATAAGCAGAGAGAAGAATTTCATCAAAAACTACCAGAGCAAATTCCTGCCATTACAAAAACGCCCTGGCATCTTTCAACGGAAATGGACAGTAAGCAGGAAGTCTTTACAGTTGCTTTTTAAGTTCTCATCTGAAAAACCCTACATGCACATACAGATTAAACTGCACTAAATTCAGTATTTCCACCTTCAGAGGGATGAAAGGTCAGTTCAGTCCTGCCCAGATTCAAACCTGTAGTTCCAAGAAGTCTAGGTGCTCAGATGCCTAAACCATCCTGAAGGGATGGTGTCTATAACTGACTATCTTTCAGCTTAAAAAAAAAAACGAAACTGCTGCTGACATCAATGCTTGTTGATTTGTTTTCTCATCAGAAGTTTAGGTTTAAAGTATTTGCACAAGGTTTGGCCATTATATAAAGGTGAGTTGAAGAAAAATCTGTTTTGTCCAAAATCAAAACACATACGTCCTCCTTCTTTTCCTTTTTCTTCTTCCTGGGGTGAGAGTCAGATTCCTGGGAGGGGGCATTGAGCTCGCTGGAATATTCTCGTATTAAGACTTCAATGGCCCCTTTAATTATCTGATCTCTTCTCTTCGTTTCCTCATCCAGTGCTTCATCATCATCATTTGTCGTCTCTGGTCTGGAGTTCTAAGGAAAAACGGCAAAGTAACAGGAATCAATAAATTGAGAATAATATTAGTTTTATTTCAGAAGTTCACCTTTGATCATGACATTCATGCCCCTACAGCATTTACTAAAACAAACAAACAAAAAACCCCACAAACACCAAACAACCTACAAGTAGTTATCAATTGTATTACTTTAGTCAGATCTTTTCACACTGGCAATACCATAGGGACCACGTCATTATTTATATGAGGAATGGCTGCAAAGAGCAAGTGTAGGATTGCATAATAAAACAGAACAGATAAGCGGTGATTAAGGTGGTAAACAGGAATAGAGAAAGTGCACGCACGCTCACAGAAAGGCAATCACTATAGTCCAGCTCTTGGTCAAAAATTTCTGCCTTGTATCCTCCAGAACTTCAAGTCACTTCAACAGCAGTTTCCTGAAAGCCTTCTACTTAAGTGCCATGCAACACAAATGTCCACCTATAACTTTCAAGCTGCAACTTGTAACCGGAGAATCGAAGAAACATTGTTAGGGAAAACATTCCTTTTTGGAGCAGCAAACATTTTCTTCTTATTGTTGATCAATTACTTTGTAGTTCATTTTTTTGCCCCTTTCCACCTTGTAGGTAGGAAAGGGAACACACACAAAGAAGTGCATTTCACTAAATGTGACATGAAAGGGTAGAACAATGATCTGCATACTGAGCAAGGTAGCCCACCTTTTGATCCCCTGAATCTTTTAGAAAAATGGAATCTCACCTGAGAATCCAGCTGGGTATCCCGTCAAGCAATAGGTGGTGGGTGGAGTGAGGGGAAGGGAAGGGTCTGATGGAGCAGCAACTAAGAATGAGGGGGAAGGGAGCATTCAGTTGGAGCTGAAGAGGCTGCCAGGCCAAGGAGGAGCAGGCTGAAAAGAGCTAGAAGGCAGTGACAGGGAGTGGAACTGAAGAGGTCCAGGGAGAAGTAGTGATCAGCGAGAGGAGCTAATTAGGTAAAAGTTTGCTTGGTGTGTCTCAAATTGTGTTGTAGTGTACACATTTGATTTCTTAATAAAAAAATATTAAAGAAAAAAGATGCAACTTTTGGATCTGAGTGGCACCAGCACACCAATGATGGTATGAAAGGAATTGCAAGCAGTATGATTACAATATGTTTCATCAATATTCCTCGGTAATTCAGAATCTTTCTTTGCACCATCACAAACCAAAAAACCACCATTTGGAGCTAATCTCAATCTACAGTTAAACTAATCGGCACATACTGTTGTGTTCACCAAGCCATGAACAGTACTGCCTGCTTTACTACAATCAATCCCGAGGGACTGGTTGTAACCCACAGGAACTCACAGAAAACAAAATTCCTGACAGAAATGTTCAAGAACTCCACTGTTACTTTAAGCTTGTTTATAGTATCAGCTGTGAAGCATAGTGTTACAGGTGATGCCAAGAGGAAACAAGGAAGTATGGAATGGAAGGGGCTGTGAAATCAAAGCCTTACCTAGGTTAACAGCTAGCACATTACTCCATTCAAAACCCATGAAGTTAGCGCTCTGCTTTATAGAGCCATTGCATTTAATCCCATACACTGGGTACACAGTCAAAAACATGTCAAGTACTTCAAGGCATCATTATGCCCCTAGTTCTGGTTAAATAAAATGAAATAAAAGCACTTGTGTTCCCATGGTATTTTACATCCCTTTAAGAACAATTCCAAATTGGAATTTTAAAAATTTACCTGCTACAGGGTGATTAGTATTTTTAATTTCCTAAACAAGAGCCTCTTCACATTTATTTTACAGAAAATAATTGTTTTAAATACTATCTTAAGGCATACGCAGAACTTTAAAATAGTTAAAGACCAAGCCCAGCAACTTGATTGTGAAATATATTCTTTTAGTAAAGAAATAGATAAAATGCATTTTAACGCAAATTTGTCAGTTAAGTATCTTTGTAAGTCATAAGAATTCAACATAACAAATATCTGCAATTATTCCAGAACAGACCTTAGCTCTAGAAAGGAATGGTACAAAACCAATTTCCCTATCTACTGAATGTCGGTAAGCTGCCCACTGCCTGATAACTGCATCATCTACTTAATGATCTACTTCTTTCCTTTTCATTAATTTGTTCTAGTATATCATCAGTGAATGGGAAAGAAACTCCAATTCTCCTCAGACAGCTGATTTACAGACTCTGACAGAGTAACAATTACTTCTAAAGTTTATATACTTTCAAGAGTTTCTAAACAAAACTGAAGCAACAGAATCATAAGGTATAGCACACATATTACTACACTATAGAATGAATCACAGAATTAATTCTAGAGATTCAGTTGTAGCTTACAGATAACTGAATGCTGGTGAATTAAGAGTTTACACTTCACTGCCTTTCAACATATCTTCAGATCATTAATGTGATTCTGGTGAAATCCTAAAATGAATTAAGGGCAGAGACAAGAAAAGAAACTAAGAGATACACTCACAATCTGATCCAGCAAGTACGTTACATCACCCTCCTGCCAAAATAACACAAGTCACACATTACATACGTACCCCATTAGAAGCCTTTTTCTTTGCTTTCCATTCATCTAGCTGAGCCTTTGTCTTTGCATCAACTTTGACTAGCAGCTTCTTCTCTCCAATCTGGAGGTCATGGAGTAGTCTCAGTGCTCGTAGTGTGGATTCTGGTTCTTTGTACTCACAAAATCCGAAGGCTGGAATGGATGATTGAAATGAAAAGTAAAAGTGTTAAAGCTCTTCAGGTAATGTACTTGGTGTAAAAAAAGTCTTTTGTATCAATAAACTTGGAACATAGGCACTTCTTTTTTTAAAACCAGGAGTATACATAATAGAAACTCAGAAAGATCATTCACTGCTTTAGTCTTTGATATGACTAATGGCCCAGTGAATAAAGGTGAAAACAATACATATACTGTAGATGTCCCATTCTTGGAAACATTCAAATTCAGGTTGGATGGGGCTCTGACCAACCTGATCTAATTGCAGATGTCCCTGGTCAAAGCGGGGGGTGGGGGGGGGCACACGACACACTAGATGACATTTAAAGGTCTCTTCCAACCCAAACTGATCTATGATTGTAAAGCTTTTGACATGTCTGTCTTAACTAAGGAATCCAGTCTACATGAAGACATGTCTCTGGTGAATTTGTGATTGTCTGAAGACCAAGGACATCAATCAAACAGCTCACTGTCAACCTAGAGGGAGGAGTATTTCAAACTTGGTTCTCTGCAACAGTTACAGAAAATTGTAATGAGAAAAACACCTTATGAGAGCAAAATAAACAAAGTATGATATATAAGAAAGCTGAAGAAACTGAATTACATCTTAAGGGGAAAAAAAAAAACAACCTAGGGAAGATATGAAAACACTAACAACAAAAAATAGTCACCAAAATTGTTTCCTGTATCCACTGGAGAAAGGTAAATATAGAAAAAACAGAAATATATTCTACATAGAAATATAGAAAAAAATAAATCAGTTCAATTTGACAATAGTGAAGGAAGACAAACTTTACATCAGGAAAACCTCCTCCTTAACATAGAAGCATAATACATAGTAATGGAAGAGACTATTAACAGTGTGGCAAATACGTTTCTTTGGAGGCTAAGTCCAAACCGGTAAACTTTTCTCAGGGATGGTCTATAAATTCATGATACAGTCTCAGAATAGAAAGGCCCCCAAGACATTTTCCCATTTAACCTTTCTCAATTTTATTTTTATCGTTCTTCTTGATTCCAAGGACAGAAAATACCAGCCCTTTACTAAGTAGTATTTAGCAGTTAAGTATCATATACAGTATCTTAAAATGTTAAAGTATTAAGAATAGCAATGTGTCAGACACTTGAAAAGCTGTCAGGTAATAAAAACAAGAGACTGACTAGAGATTTTGAAAGGTATAAACAATTACCTTGAAGTTTTCCAGATGCCCCTTGTACTCTCTTCCAACTCAAAACCAAGCCACATTTCTGCATTAAAGATAAGTATTAATTAAATATTATTTATGTTCAAAACATCACAAAAACTGTATCACTTTTTGCAAAAGATGACATATAAAAAGGGTAAACACTACTAAAAATAAAATGTCTAGGTTCACTAACATCTATAGCTTAAAAAAGCTGTACTCTTCACTTACTGACTTTAAACTCAAGCATAACGGGCTGCTATTCCAGTGAGTGGGATCAACTCAGCTTTTAGTTTCAATTCACTGCTTGTGGGTCATTACTTCATTCATTAGCCAGGGATGTAATCTGACAAGCAGTCCACTGTACTTACTGCTAGAAGCTGCCGTATGAGCATGTCCGAGGCCTTCTCAGAAATGTTGCCTACAAAAACGGTGGTAGTGGGACCGCTGTTTTCATCATTTTCTTTGTTCTTTAAGCCAGGATGGTCTTTTCTGGCTCCCAAATGTTTTCCAACCATAGACACAGTGGTAGGAACCAATACCTAGAAGGAGGAGAATAGGGTGCAAAATAAGCGTTGGGTTGTTAGTGGTTTGTTTTCTGTTTGTTTGTTTTTTGTTTTTGTTTGTTTGTTTGTTTTTTTCTTTTTTTAATCTGCAAGATGAAAGAGTTAGGGATGCACACGTATTTCAAAATTGAATTTTCATATGAACCTTAGTTAGGCTTATGGAATGAGACACCAATAAGTGGTTCAGGTTTTAACACTTTACACAACACAAAAAAGATTGTCATTTTCTGGCAAAGACAGACAGAAAAAAAGGTGTACCTGACTAGGAAGAAATTCTTCACCGTGAGGGTGGTGAGGCACTGGCACAGGTTGCCCAGAGAAGCTGCGGATGCCCCATCCCTGGAAGTGTTCAAGGCCAGGTTGGATGGGGCTTTATGCAACCTGGTCTGGTGGAAGGTGTCCCTGCCCATGGCAGGGGGGTTGGAACTAGATGGTCTTTAAGGTCCCTTCCAACCCAAACCATTCTATGATGATTCTATGATGGCTACTGGATGGTCTCGAGGTGAGCATACAGTAACATTAGGTATTATTTCTTCTACAAATAACTAATTTGCAAGATTTGAGACACTGGAAGTTGAAATACCTTACCTAACAGTGTAAAAAGCAAGCTGCAAATAGAAAAGTAACTCTGACTCAAAAGGTTTCAATGGACACATGACAGGTCTTCAAGCTTTCCTAGAGTGAATAAAAACCTACTGCTTTATTTAATCAATACATAACCCAAAGCCTCTTTGGGTTAAGGAGCAAACATCTGTAAACTAAATCGTGCAGAGATAGGCATGATCCTCTGCTCCATTTTGCTGCACCTCTCTCCTTCCACCTAAGATTTAATGGTACATATGCACTGAGTTCCTCTTCTCAAAACACCCTTCTAGAAGTGTCACTTAATAAAAATTATTTTAATCAGAAAACTGAATTATGCATTTGTTCTAGTTTCTTTGTCTTAAATGTATCAGTTACCATGAATATATCCTCCTCTAACAGATAATTCAAGCTATCAAAAAATTTCAGTATTTTAGGGAGATTTCATTTATGCAAAATCGTAGAAATGGCAATTCACCTTGAAGTCAAGTAGTACCCTTTATATTTTAAAGAGCGCTTTTTTCCGCCCCATAAATCATAAACCTTCCTTCCAATTAGAAATTAGTAAGACAAAGAGACCTTTCTCTTATATGCTCTTCCAGCAATGCATATTATATGTAACTATTCCTTCCCCTGCAACATGGGAAAAGAGACCTTGTTTGTAAGCTTGTCAACAAACATCTTTCTGGCCAACTCAGCAGTGCTGCATGATGGCCTTAAAAACCTGGATGAGGTGATGCCTCCAGAGCACTCTGTTAGGCCAACAAACTCAAAAGCAAGAGACCTGGAATCTACCTGATCTAACTGTACTGCATAGGAAGATGATGCATGACCCAAAGACAAAGCCTAAATCACTGTATTTGAGAGAAATACATCTTCTTGCAAGAACAGAAATTGCTTCACCTTTGCAGCTAGCAGCTCGCAGCTCCAGACATTATTTCAAACTTTGTTTAGGTCAGAAATTAGCATAAGATTTGCATAATAGTTGCATTTAAAGTGAAGCATTTCCTTTGATAGTATGAATTCTGATGGAATTGAGCAAAACAAAAATACTGTTGACATCTACTAAGTTTTACTCTCCGTTTTATTTCTTTATTTTATTTTGCTATCATCTCATCCCCACTGTAATACTTACAGTCGGAGCAGGAGCCATAATGCCCATTGGAACAGGAATCATAGGGGTCCCTAAGAAAGACAAGACATTAATATTAGCCTGCCCTGTTAAGACGACTGATGAATACAAATGAACTGATCACAGATATAGCTACCAAGTAAGACAGCAATTTTGGTCAAGTAAGAATTTCACAGTACTGATCACCAGTAATTCCTTAAGCATTCAAGCACAGCCTGAGTACACTAACATACCATGTGTATCCTGGTCACTTTTATCATATTACCATTTCAACTTTGCTCATCACAAACAAACCTATTGTCAAAGCACATTCAAACCACAGTATTGTTCTAGAAGATAGTCATGTGATGAATGACTATGATTCCATAAATAGAGAGCAAAAGCAGCTGAAGTCCTACATATGATAATCTCATTCCTGACTTGCCCAGTTCTCCTAGCACAACCGATTCTGCATGCATCTTAGGGATGAGGTCCTACAGAGAACGCCACCAGCCTTCATGCTACTATTTATGGAATAGCTTAATAAAGGTGGCATATAAAACCTCAACCCAGAAGCTCCTTACCTGCTGAATCCTTGACTTGGCAATCTTTAAAACTTAATTTAAAACAATATTTTATCAGGTGAAACTATGCAATATCCTCTTTCCCACTACCAAATCCACTGGCAGCTTTAAGTACTATCATTTGAGCCAATATCTGACCGTAGTAAAGGCTGTTTATCTTTCCATGCCAGCTACTAGAGGAGGTTAAAGACATTAAGCGTATGGATTTCAAAACTACTTGCTGGACAGTAAAGACACCGAGACTCAAGAACAATGAAGTCAATCTCATTTTCTTCAGAGAAATACCCTCTAGGGATCCTAGATATCTTTTTTCATTCTACATAAGACTTTCTTCATCTTTTACTCTCAATCATTCCCTTTTGATCCTTCCCTTCTCCATCTCTCTTACTGCTGTGTTCATAAAATCCTAACCAAACTTCTGCAACCTACTGTTCCTGGACTTGTTCCCCAACTTTCTCCAGTGCTTAGTCCTGAAACAACATTCCTCCTCTGACACTCTCTCCAGCTTTCTCCTCATCCACTTTGGTTCTGCTTTGATTCTGTAATTTATTTTCTCCACCACTCAATCCTGTTCCTCAATCCTTTCATATTAAAGTCATACTACCTCCTATCCCTCCAAACCATTCAGAGAATCAAAAGGTGTGTTTGTCCTGTGCTCTCAGTTTTAATGCACCATGGCATCTCACAGACTGAGGAACTACTCCAAGACAAGACTCCAGTTGTGCAGCCCTGTAACTATTACAATTATCAGGATGCTGAACTTGGATTTTAAAGTTACAACTCAGTAAAGATACTTGTGTTATCGCTGACAGTTCCCTGAAACTATCAGTCCAATGCTCAGCAGAAGCCCCAAAAATCCATTAAAATGTTGGGCATCATCAGCAAACATACTGATGATCAAGATCACAGGCATCATTTAGCTGCTATACAAAAACCTGGCACACCTATACTTTTGGCTACTGCCTACAGACCTGGTCTCTGCAACCCAAGAACACCACACAGCCTTAGAGAAGAACAACTACATGACTTAAGTGTTGAGGCAGCTGCTGTACTAGGCACGACTCTACACTCTCAGACTCTGCGAGTGTGGAGGTTTGCAAGGCATGGAACATGACTGAGGTGTACAAAACCACAAAACAAAACTCGCCCAACTCCCACATCAGAACTGGGGCAGGAAGGAGTCACTAAGTAAGCAATGACTTTAAAGACAGACATAAAGTAGCACTTTACACAGTCATTAATGAACTTCTTAAATTTGGGGCAAGAGGCGACAGTGAAGATGGACAACATGCATCAGGCTGTACGGACTGCTGGTCTGACCCACCGCAGCATTCCTTACATATGAACCCTAATTTTTTACATCTTAATGCTATCTGATAACCTTCAGAGATGACAAGAGTTACCAGAATCACCTCCTTACCAAATCTTCCACACTTATGAGATGGAAATGCTAGAACTTCTTATTTTTAACACCAATATCTTTAAGCAAAGCAAAACACTACTCCTAACTTCATTCTTACACAAGCAAACCACTCTAGCTGAAACTTTAAAAAAAAAAAATTATAGGCTGAGTAAGATAAGTAGAACATAAAATTCTGGCCAAACAGCTAGCTAAAGATACTATTATAAGCCACTAAAATTGTGATCTTACATATGGAATAACTTCAGAGTAGCCTTTCATAGTCACTGTGGCACTTTTCGGCTTTTTCAACTCTACTGATACACTTGTGCTAAGAAATGGAGAGATCCTTACCCTTTACATGTCAAATATGTTACCTGCACAGGTAAGCAAATCATGTTTCTAGTGTGCAGAGAAAAATTTGATTCTCGTCTAACATCAGGCCTCTCCACTCTACGTACTGTTTGGATTACTAATACTGAAACAAGACTATTTTATATAAAAAGTCAAATACAGCAATAGAACAAAAAGATCTTTGTCACACATGTCAAGAAGCAAATGTTCAAGCAGCAACTTGTATCAGGTATTTAAAAACATTCTTCAGAAAGTTATTTTTAATAGTATCTGGTGTTTTTCACACTAGTATAAATAAACTGGAGCTAGTAAAGATAAGAGGCATGGTTTTAAAATTTAACCTGAAATTTTTGATGGCAGAACGCTACCTAATCAAGAACTCTGCCTTTAGCAGAAAATAGATAACATCTCATGGATCTCAGGAAAAAAGTTCAGAAAAATTAATGCAAGTAAGGATTAGCCTGACGAACGGATGTGCACAAACCATTCCCGAGTTCAGCCATCTGGTTTTTGAATGCCTTTATTGTGCACAAGTGTTTTGTAGACAACACAGCTTAAGACAGTACACAGACAGGAATTATTTTCTGCAGCTCTTGTGATGAATTTTCAAGGGTTAATTTCCCAATGTATTCCTATCTCCCACTCACTCTGTGGTCTCTTGCCTCCAGTCACTGTTATATACACTGGCAATGTACAGAAAGAAGGTGGTTCCAGACCAATGAATTAAAGTTTCAACGCAAAAAACAGGCTGATCTTACAGATGAACAAAGAAAAAAAGGTAGGATTAATTTCGGGAAGATCAGAAGGAATGATGAACATAACAGTAAGTTTGCGAGATGTGTGGAGGAAAGTATGCAAGAAGCAGAATAGAATAAAGCAAGATTTATAAAAAAGTAGAGAAAAAGACCATAAGAAGTTGGACCTTCTCTGAAAGTTACTCCTATATTTTCACACCACATGTACTCAGCGTACCCAAGTGTTTCCAAAGGCTATTACAATGGCTTATTTGAAAGGAACTGAAAAATCATACGTCTACTGTCAAAACAGTGGCTCTCAGAATACCTAACATTAACAAAAATCACCACCTAGCTTCAGTCTTGGAAAAAAGGTCCAAACCAAAATCTGGTGTTATCTCTAATGGTTTGATTTCTGGTCAGAAGTAAGCAGTTTTTGGCAGACCAAAAGGAGCTTGCTCACATGACATGATCTGTGGGTAAACTAGAAACTCAATTGCAACATACACGAATCAGACTTACTGAAACACATTAAGAGCCAGTAACTTTTGTAAATAATACAATTCAGAATAATAAAAGGAAATTTAATTCTACAACACTTCCATACACTAACGTAACTTACCAGGAGGTACAGGTGGAGGAAAGCCAGGAAACTGTGGAGGTGGGATCCCGGGGGGAAGTGTTGGGATTCCCATAGGAGGGCGATTCAAATGAGGTGGAAAAGACATTCTTCCAGTCTCAATCTGTCAAAAAGGCAGAAAAGTAAACTTGTACTAGTCGGTTCCCAAACATGAGTTACAAAAGCAGTGCAAATGATAAGCGTCCATAACGATTTTAAATCTTTACTTGGACATTCAACTACAAACTAAAACTATTTTTAACTCTTTTTCCCCAGCTATTCGTTAAGTTACAAATGTAGAAGTCTTCTTTCACAATGAAAAAAAGCACTTCTAGGACAGTGTTTCAGAATGAAGTGAAAACCAAAACTACGAGTCCTCATACCAATGGTTTACAAGGAGTGTGAATTAAACAGCATTTAACAGTTTGTACAGTTTCCTTAAAATAAATCTATCTTTGCAGTATCTGAAAACAGAAGTAATCTTGTAATACATTTTCAATAAGGCAAGTAGTTCTTTTGTACAAGAAACGATCACACACAATACAACTGTGGACCAAGATAACGGAAAGAACTGGACATCCTGATGCTCAGCATTAACAGGAATTGTATTTAAGATGACATTGGGGAGATCCCCAAATTCAAGTACAGAGACAGTTAAAACTTGGAAGAGGGCTCTCTGATCTATTTTTAACTTTCCAGTTCACACATCTTCTAGAGCTCAACTTGGATGATAGCCCATGAGCTGAGAGTCAATATGCTACCATGGCAAGACTGTTTTAACATGCTACTCAGATGGTATTATTACGTGCATATTACCAACCCTGTAACAGATACCACCCAATAATAAAACCCCAAGATCAGTCTTAACACAACTAACAAGGCATTTATTCTTGCTTCCAATATTATCTCAGCAACCTTACAGGTCAAGTCTTCAAAACAGATTCGCCCTCAGTTCTAACAAAACCAAAACCGGTCAGCAATATTACTGCTGAGCGTACAGGTACATTCACACTGCAGTAAGGAAGCACTACAAGAACTTCAAACACACTAGATTGTGTGGATATGAATCACAAAGACATCGTATCACAAGCGACAAAGAGTCCAGTTAGCTGTCTGAGAAAACATTTGTGCTTCTCAAGGGACTGTACAGACTGCTTCACAACCTACAGTACGGTATCTTCACTGCAACAGTTTTCTAAACAGGCAACCACGAGTCAAAACTGAAGCAGGTGGCATTGAGAAAAAAAGTTATGATAAGCAAAATTCTGATATGTACAACAGGCCTGTAGATCATAAGATGCTCTCCCCAGCTTCCTGGCACTGAACATACGAGAAACAGGAAACAAGACTTGTTGGAGACAGATGTGCCTTCCATACATGTACAAGAGCAAGCAGTTAATAACAGTCTTAAATACCAGAAATAAGAGCTAATATCAGTACTCTACCATAATAGTAGATACATAATTTTTTTAGATCTTTCAAATAAGAGAATCACGTAGCAAAACTTTACTCTCACAGAGTCTGGAAACAACTATGAGAGATAAATGTATATAGTGGACTGGAGAGGATGAAAGGGAAACTCAAATGTATTTGGCAATACTTTTGAACATCAGAACTTATTTATTCTAGTATAAGAACACATATATGACCGTATAGCATAATTCACTCAAAGACATTTAAAACTACATCAATTACAAGAGGTTCATTATGATGGCATTCATTAATTGGCCCCAAAGGGCATTCATCAACATCTCACCAGGAAAAAAGACAAAGGCTCCTGTGACACAAGGTCTAAGATGGCAGAAGAAACAAGAAAGCAAATGCAAGCATTCCCCCAACAGTTCAACAGAGATTATTTTATGCAATATAATAAACATAAAACCTTTTTTTTTCCCCTTAGAATCCATAAGCCTAAGAACACACTTCCCTTCTGTCATTCTTAAATTTTTAAAACTGAATGCGCAAAGAAAAGCAGTAAAGGGGTACTGTCAAAACATTTTATTTGGAAGAACATTCATTATTTATTCTCTCTTCAGGCTACGTGCACATCAACCAACAATCCTCTACAATCTGAAACTTGGATGACATGGAAGGGAACAGAACTGCCTTATCTGCCTTGGTATCACTATTTTAAACTTTTTCACCAAAGAAAACAGCCAACAGTCCCTGGAAAATTAAGATCTTTAAGGTCTCAGTCCTTATCTATATTGCAATCTGACAGGCAATTGGAGAAAATTCGAAGCTGTTTTGGGGCAGGATGGTAGAGCAATAAGCTATTGGGTCTGAGATGGTTCTGAACAGGCTACAATAGTGCGATATCATCTGAGGTCCACGAGACATTAAGGAGTGGTGTGTTAAACAAAAAAGAACAATCGGGGAAGTAATTTCCCAGGCTGCCTGTAGATGCAGTCCCTTGTCTTGCTCTGGTAAGAACTTTATCTGAGACACCATTCTGGAGAAGCTAAAAAAAAAGGCCTAGGGACTAAGAGGTGAAACAGTTCTTTGAATTAGAAGATCCTGAAACACACCGTACTCAATGGACATTACATATGCACACAGGCAGTTTTGGTTTTTTTTTTAAATTTAAATTTAAAAAGTGAAGATTTAGCCCTCAAAGAAGTAGTTGTTACTGCATCAAAGGAACATGGCAGTTAGTAAGAATGGACCAAATTTAGTCTTTCAATCTTCTAGTCAGATGATGTGAAACACACTGTTATCTGTAGGGCTTCAACAATCCATTTTACTTGAAGCACTCTGTTCTTATTTTTTTCCATATTTGTACAGTTATTTTCACAGCAGCTAGAAAGCTGCCCTGTTACTGACTTAATCCTCACACGGACCAATCCTAGCATCTCTGCTGTCTGTGACACTGAAGATCAACACTAGAATTCAAGAAAGCCGTGGTCTCTTTCTCACCACTATACGTAACTATCAATGCGAAACCGGCAGAACAGTTTAATTTTGTTTCCATTATGAGAACTGTGAGGATCAACAGATATCAACATTGAAACTGCGCACTGGAGAAGTGAGAGATCTGGAAGAGAGGAAGATTGATCCAGTTCCTTGCAGTACCCAAGATGCTACAATGAAGGGAACTGCGTAGCACGTTTTTTCTGTCAGCAGCTGGAGAACACACAAGAAACATACATACTCTTCCAACAGTCAGAGGGGCCTCTGACATCAAATCCATAAGCAACTACAAACCAAGGGTTAGGTATGGAAAGCAAAGAGATGCTAAGCTGAGCCTAGGTAGAATACACTTGTAGAAATCTCAGGAACACTATCTTGAACTTCTGTACTACCCTGCCAGTACAGTTCAGTGACCAGTGTCTGCTGTATTTACTGTGGTCTCAGTACTGTATATGGTGACCTTCAGATTTCCCCAATATATTCAAATGCGTAAGGAACTAAACAGTTGTGAGATATTTTTAAAACCTCAGTTGACTTATGAAAGTGTTACCCCTAGTGAAACTGGATGTAAGCAGCATTCTTGACAGCTGCATTTTAACAAGCAGCTCTTTAAGTGACAGATTAATTTGTGTGTATGTTACGGTGGTCACAAAGATACAGAGGTAATAAAAGCCATTACCATCTGGCCTGATGCCACTCAAAATATTGAACTAATGACATCTTCAGCCCCCAAAATGATGGATTTGTGTCAGGTCTCCTACTCAAAGTGTAGTCAATTTAGGTTATGTCTGTACCAACAAGCAGGGCGGTACAACAGGAGTGGGTCTGTTAAAACAGATGGAGTCGAGACCCTAATGCCCACACTACACATTTTGAGGAGGTCCACCCTGCTGGAACAAATGCCCATTCGCAGGTTAGAGTGCATTTTTCACTATATTTTTATCCAAAAGGAATCCAGTTCATCCACTGGAACAGTGCAAACCAACGTGAAAAAAAGGGTTCTCAAGTGAGAATGACTGTAAGACTTCCTTCAAAAGCACACTCCTGACTGGAGTTAACACAGTAATGTAGGTGCACACTTTGTTAGCCTTAGGCAATTTTTGTAAGCTGTAGATTAGTGATGTCATGGATGGCAAAACATCTAAGCTTACCCTAAGCAGAGCTGACTCAAATCCAGCCCAAGCTATTAACTACAGCAAGTGTTACACAAACACAGCTATAATATTCCAGGTTCAACTTTGGCCTAGAAGGAGTTCAGTTCCTTTCATACACTGCTCTTCTGAGTTAATAAGTCCTGGCACAACCTAACGCCATGCAGACCCAGCTACACCACTCTTCTGAAACTTGGAGAGAGTACAGGGATACCCATATGGTTCTAAGGCTTGGTAAAATCCACTGGGACTTGTTAATTCTGACTCGGTGCTATCCCTGCTGGGACGGAGCTCTGTCCCTCAGAAGCACGCTAACTCTGATGCACAACTAAAGAAGCGCACAGGGCTGGCCTGAGGCCATGCTGGACTCAAGTGTCTGAGACCACACAGAATTCAGAATTACTATGAAAGGAGAGTCACCATCATTCAGACACTGCTGCCCCGTGCTTCTTTATGATCTCCGACTCCCAGAAGTCCCAATAAGAGGGGACTGACTATATGAGAAGATTGTACTGGTCTGGCTGTACTGTTAATGTAATTGTCTTTTTTTTTTTTTTAACCATAGTAGTCTTTAAACCTTTTTTTTTTTATTTAGCCCATTTTTTAATAAAGGGGTGAAGTGATATGTCATATACAGAACGTAAGTTTAATAAAAATTACTGGTAACTAATGTATTTTAAATTGAGAATTATATCACCTACTCAGGGCAGCATCATATTCTACCAGTGTCACAGGATTAATCTCCTTAGTACCTCTGTGTTTACACATCATAACTGTTATTAAAAAACGTGCAAAACATTTTAACCATTTCCAAAACATGTAAGTTCCCCAGGAAACAAACAGTTACAACACTTACTGTTGAGATGCTGTTATAGTCAACATAGTAGATTTTAACTGTAAAAGTCCTGAAGTCTTAATGCATAAACAAATTTAATGTGTTTTAAAAATATATACATGCAGTGTCCTAACAGCAGTGACAATATGGATGATCTATCTTGATTTCATTTTGTCTGATTTTAGCTTCTCTTCAACATTTTCCCAATACAATTCTTCTCCAGCACA